GGACTATCTGTTCCTCTTGCAAGGCCTTAACAAACTTGGGGAGGGAAGAAACTTAAGGGGAAAAAATTAAAATGCCTAGGAGGAGGGGTCTCCCAGGATATAAACCTTTTGAGTATAATACCCAGGAGAGGAAAGAACAATTTCCCCTTAGAACAGTGCCCCCCCCCCACTTTTTGGACATCAGGGACCGGTTCCGTGGAAAGGGGTTTTTCCGTGGACCGGAAGGGGTGTGGCTTTGCATACTGCTTGCATCCTGCGGATGGGGCTTCACTTGTCTTAGCGGCCTGGTTTCTGGCATGCCGTGTGGACAGGTGCCAGTCAGCACACCAGGCCTTAGAACAGTGGTAGTCAACCTGGTCCCTACCACCCACTAGTGGGCGTTCCAGCTTTCATGGTGGGCGGTAGGGGTTTGCTGTAACTCTTGCTTTATAAATTTTATAAAGTAAAGTTACTTCCCTACTTTATAAATCACCGTTACTGTGGAATTGGTGGGCGGTTAGAAAATTTTAATACTACCAGAAATACAAAAGTGGGCGGTAGGTATAAAAAGGTTGACTACCCTTGCCTTAGAATCTCGTCACCTAAGTCTCCAAAAGCATTAAGCTGCAAAGGGGAAATATCTTTGTATGTATTCTGACCGAGGCTTCCCAAGAGCATGAAGCAAACTCCTTGTCCCGACAAAAACCCCTTTTATTCATTTACTGTGAATTCCTCTCATTCATATCCAGAAAAGTCTTTCAAGGGAGGATTTACAGTCACAGACTTTATCTGGCTTGGGGAGCTGCCAGGCCGATATCTGCAAAACTTGGCAAGGAGTCTCCAAGAGTCACAAATCAATTAAGCGAACTAATTGTCTCCTGCAAACTCCACTCCCCTTTTGCTCCTCTTTTCTTTTCTCTGGGAGGGGCCATTCATCGTCCACCTGTGGCCTTACTCCCAAGTCGACCCCTGTTCTTTAGCTGTTCCCTTTGTCTGGCAACTCTGTGCATGAGCACACTGGGAACAGACTCCAGCTGTTCTTCTGCCTCACTGATTTCTGACTCTGAAGGCAACTGATAAGTGGCATATGGCCCTGGCCCCATCTCTGCCTCCGACGCAGAGCCCTCATCAGAGCCTTCCCTAGACTCCAGGACTAGCCCATGTTCCACCCCAACCTCCTCACTGTCCGAATCTGCTGCCAGCTCTGCTGGCCACAACAGTATGTGGAAGAAGAATCAGCCTTAGGACTCTTAAAAGAGCATCTATGGAACTGCCACCCATTGAGCAAAATGTCAGGGTAAGGACACAACGTTATGAGAGAATGTCTACAGAACGACACACGAGCCTCGGGGATTAGCTAAGGGAAAGCTCTAATCCAGTGTTTGCAACCTTGGTGACTTTAAGACAGGTGGACTTCAACTCCCAGAATTCCCCAGCCAGAAGTTGAAGTCCACCTGTATTAAAGTCACCAAGGTTGCAAAACCCTGCTCTAAGCCGATCCCAAGAAGCGAGGAGAGAATTGGAAGGTCAAGACTGCAGTAGAGGGTGGTCTACGACAATCCAGTCATCAGTGCTCCATCAACAGTTATAGCTCTCATAAGGTCCATGCTCTTTTAAGCCCCTCACCATGAGTTTCATCTGCAACATTCTGTATCGTAATTCTGCCCCGAACCTCAGTTTCTCAATGGGCCAAGTGACACACAGTTTTGGTGGATGTCATCCTGCTTTCTGACCCTGCCCAGGTGCCCTTGCAGATTTGCTGTGGGATTCTGAGCATGGAGAGGCCACGTCTAATGGCCAACCCCCATGGGGAATTGTAAACGGTGACAATGAGCATTACGTTAAGGAGGGTGATGACTATTAGAAGCTGATAACTGATCGCTTTCCCACAAAACTGAAAGGAGGGACAGAAATGAGATGAATTCCAGGTAGTCCTCAACCTACGACCACAACGGAGCCCAAAGTTTTTCTCGGTAAGCGAGAAATTTCCCAAGTGGGTTTTGCCCCCATTTTATGACTCTACTTGCCACGTTGGTTAAGTGAACCGCTGCCATTATTAAGTTAGCAACCTGGGTTGTTCAGTGACCACAGTGATGGTGGCTTGTCAGGAGGTCGCAAAAGGGGATCGACAAAGACCCCGGGACCACACTGCGACTGTCGTAAATACAAAGCCCTGTTCAAGCATCCAAATCTCAATCATGCGACCAGGAGGAGGCTGCAACCATCGTGTGAATAACAAGTACCGCATTTTTCTTATTATAAGACGCACCTAAATTTAGAAGAGGAAAACAATAAAAAAGGTTTGGGCCTCTGCGCACCTCATTTTTGGCCCTTTTGGGGGGCCTTTTTTGGCCCTTTTCCAGACTTTGTTTCTACCCATTTTGGGGGCTTTTTGTTCCTTTTTTGGGGGGTTGACCTGTTTTGGGGGGGTTTTCTGGCTCTTTTGGCCCATTTTTGAGGCTTTTTCGGCCGGGGGGGGGGCAAAAAACCCTCAAAAATGGCCCCCAAAGCCTCAAAAACAACCTGAAAAAAGCCTTAAAAATGGCCCAAGAAAAGCCTTGAAAATGGCCAAAAAAAAACCCCTTCAAAAATGGGCCAAAAAAGGCTCCAACCAGGCCCGAAAAAGGGCTGAAAAGGGAGACGTGCAGAGGCCAAAATATGGCCAATGAGTGGGCGGAGCTTCAGCAATATTCGGTCTATAAGACTCACAGCCCTTCTCACCCCCTTTTGGGAGACCAAAAAGTGCGTCCTATAGTCCCAAAAATATGGTATTTGTTTCCAATCCTGTTATAACTTCGAGAGGTCACTCATCGAACTGTTGTAAGTCGAGGACGGCCTGCCGTTCGTTCCCGTCCCTCTGATGATGTGTGAAGACTTCCACTCCCGGAATCCTGAGTTAGACTGATCTATCATCCAATACGCGTAGAGCGTCCACATTTGGGAACTTTAAGACTTGAGGACTTCAACTCCCAGAATTCCCCAACCAGCCATGCTGGCTGGGGATTTCTGGGAGTTGAAGTCCACAAGGAGTTGAGGGAGTTGAAGTCCTCAAGTCTTAAAGTTCCCAAGTTTGGACGCCCCTGGCATAGAGAGATGCCCGACTGGGGGAAGAAAGAGACTCTGAAAGCAGAGGCACAAAGCATCCAATTTCCAAAGCTTGTTAGCAGTTAATATTAAGATTTAGGCCGGGATTGTCCACCCTGCGTGACAGATGCTTAAGAGACTGTGGCTTGCTAAGATCACTCGCCGAGATGGCTGTAGTAATAATCTGTGAACCGGACTTCCTCGTTCGTCTCCCAATCTCTCCACAGAGACTGGATGGACCAGCAGGACAAGACAAATGGAGCTTTGATCTGACTCAGAAGCTTCCCCGCGGAGGATCACGGCAGCGTTTAGTTCTTCCCAAAAATCAAACTGCAGCCAGAAGTGAAAGCCAGCTCACCGGAAGTAGCAGTTTGGCTCAGACAAAACGGGCCACCCAATTCAGGCCGTGAAGATACAATCCTATTCCTTCACTACGTCGGAGAAGTTTAAGATACAACGACGTGTGGGTTGAACACATAAACCAAGCAGGATGGAGAGCAAACTCCACTAAGATTCGTAGCTGGCAGTTTTTTAAAAAAAAAGAATGCCAAAGTAAGTTTTTTAATAAATTGAGGGTTTTTAAAAAAACGAACAAACAGCTTCTGGCCAGATTGAAAAGAGCATGTTACCGCACCACACGGGAACCGTCTCTCCAATCCCGCGGCCGAGATCTTGCCTGGGTGAACACCAGCTCAATTCCCACGTCTCAAACTAAGGGGAGACAGGGTGAAACCTCCTGTCGTTCCCTCGACCTTCGTTCCCAATCAAGCAAGTTCTCTGGCAACCGGATACGATTGGAGGGACAGAGCCCACCCACCCGCCACCCTCCACATAGCCAAGGGGGAGGATGTAGGGGTGACAATGGAGGACACAGTCCTTCTGGGAGTCTGCACATAGGAGACCGGAGCTCTGGAAGACGTGCAACACACCGAAAGGGAATGAGAGGAGTGAGGGAGAAGAGAAGGATTCCAGGAGAACCAGCCCTGGGAAGAGGTCGGGAAGTGTATTCGAGGGGAGGGGAAGGGAGGAAGAAGGAAGAGGAGGAGGAGGAGCACCAAACGGGGAAGCCAGACAGCAGGAGTGGAGCAAAAATGAGAAACAGTGGCAAGAGAAGCACTTTCATGAGTCAAGAGGCCATGCAAGTCACAAGGGAAGTGGAGAAGCTATTGGGCTGTGGACACTGCAGTCAAACTGGCCCTAACCACAACCTGTTGGTCGTAAACTCAAGAGGGAAGATGAGCCTCCGCATGCCGGCCTGACCCATCCTATAGTTTCTCTTCTCCAGGTTTTCTTCTCTTCTCTGAAGACAGGGACCTCTTCTTTTTCCCCACCCCAACAATCTCTCCTCCCTGCAGGCTTAAAAAAAGAACTTGGGGGGGGGGGATCCACAAAACGATCTGCTCCCCCTTTCAAATGTGTTTAAAGCAACAAGACCAAAAGGCTCCTCACTCGTCATCTTAATCCAACCCAATAATAATAATAATAATAATAATAATAATAATAATAATAATAATAATAATAATAATAATAATAATACAGGTAGTCCTTGAATGACAACCATGTGTTGGGCGACTGTCCAAAGTTAAGGTTGGCACTGAAAAAAGGGGACTTACGGCCGGTTTTCATCCTCACGACCGCCCGCTGCAGCATCCCCCACGTTACGTGATCAAAATTCAGACGCTTGGCAACTAGCTCATATTTACGACGGTTGCAGCGTCCTGTGGTGGTGGGGAGAGTTGGCGGCCTTTCGGCTAACTAAATCAACAGGAAAGCCATATTCACAACCGCCGTGTTAGTAATTTAATAGCCGCAGCGATTCACTTAAGAACGGTGACTAGAAAGGCCATAAAACGCAGGCAAGACAAGACTCAAGCGAACAACCGTCGTGGTCAGCAACGGAAATCTGGGCCTCAATTTGTGGCCGTCAAGTCGAGGGCTACCTGTATTATTATCTCTCTCTCTCTCTCGCTAAAAAAACTGGGAAGGTGGAGAGTGAAGGGGGGGGGTAACCTCCTGTAAGACAGGAGAGTTCACGGGGACGCAGAGGGTCTTAACTTGGAGGCTTCACTCTCATCACCTCAGGCGCCCCTCCAGCCCTGCGGTCTTTTGCCCTGCAGTGTCCAAGCACGAGCCCTGACCCGAAGGGCCCCCTCCCTCCCCCTAGGATGGCATCCAGCATGCAGTGAGGCAAGCGGAGGGAGGTTAGTACCTGCTGATGTAAAGAACGCGGCCCTGCTGGAAACTAAGACGAGAACGAGCGCGGGGGAAAGGAGACAAGAGGAGAACGTCACCGACAGTTACAGGCACCCCTGTCTACGCCCTGCTTTCCCCCCACCCCTTCCCAAATTCCTCTCTCCTCTGGGCAGCTGAGCCGCCCCTCCCTGCCTTCTCTCCACCACTTTCCATGCCAACCCGACCTAGGCATCTCTTATAAGCTGGCGGCTGGCTCCATCGGGCTCCTTTCCCCAACCCTCATCCCCACCTGGCACAGGCCGCAGATGCACTCCTGAGTCAGTGGCGCCTGCAGACCGAGAGTCAGCCTGCAAGGCTGCTTGTGCCCTTGCCAGCCCCCGAGCCAAACCGAAGAACCTGTTTGGCAACGCATCAGAGGGAGGCTCGGCTGCCACCTTCCAAGAGAGTCCTCCTGCAGCTCCCAGAGCCGCAGTCCCGGCGGGCTGTCGCTGCCTTCTTACCGGTCGAGGCTGGGAAGGCGTATTCATTTGGGTAGCTTGTGCTGGGTTAAAAACCACAGGTGCCGCCTGGCCAGGAGGAAATGCTGACTGCTAGGAGAAGGGAGAAGAGAAGAAGCAGGTTAGAAGCTCCGCGGCAGCTGCCCCAGCCGCACCTGAGGCAGCGCTTGAGGAATAGAAAGCCATTGACTCTAAGACGCATGGGAGAAATGGAATTAAAACGGCATCGGTCAACCTGGCAAACCTTCCCCTCGACAAAAGCAAGCCAATAGGCCAAAGGCAAGCAAACTACAGGGAAGTTCATTTTGGCCACAAACATAAAATAAAATTGGAGCAGTGGAGCAGGGTTGGGAGGACTCTGGCCCTTTAAAGGACTTGTGGACTCCATGCTGGCTCAGGAATTCTGGGAGTTGAAGTCCACAAGTCTTAAAAGGGTCATAGTGCCCCCACCTCTGCTAGAGGACCTACCGTATATTTCAGAGTATAAGACTCACTGGAGTATAAGATGCACCAAGATTTTGAAGAGGCAATTTTTATTTTATTTTTTAAAAAAAAGGTTTTGCACTCTGCAGGCCTCTCAAGCCCTCTGCACGCATTTTTTTTTTGTGAAAAACAGGGCATGCAGAGTGTTTGAGAGGCCTGTAAAGTGCTTCTTGGAGCTGGGGGGGGGGGAATCAAGCAAAGAAACGGCCTGTTTTTCACTCGTTTTTGCCCTCCCCAGCCTCCAAGAGCACTTTGCAGGCTTCCCAAATCCTCTGCACGTCCATTTTGGTGAAGGGGGCGAAGTTTCGAGAGTTCAGAAATGTAGTATTCGGTGTATAAGATGGATCCAGATTTTCACCCTCTGTTTTGAGGGGGAAAAGGTGTGTCTTATACTCCGAAAAATATGATAACCTCTCAAGCCACCCGGGTGGTGGTGGGGGGATGTGTGCGTAGCCCAGGCAAGGAGGTCCAGGCCTGGGAAGGAGAATCCTTACCTGTGGAAGTCCAGGAGAAGGGGAGGGGTGTGGGGCTGATGGGGTTCCTCCTGAGGGCTGTGGAGCTTTGTTCATTTCACGTGTTGCTGCATAAGGATCCCTTTACTATCTGCAGAGAGGGAGAAGGAGAGAAGCGTCATCAAAAGGAACATGGGGAGAAGCAGACAGGGTGAAATGCTGAGGTACACCATACAAAGTGAGAGGCTGAAACCCGGATTTTTATGTCAATTTACCACAAACACTTTTGTGACCTGCCAGAGGCCAGCGGAGCTGGCAGAAGATTCGGACAGTGGGGAGGTTGGGGAGGAACATGGGCCTGTCCTGGAGTCTGGGGAAGGCTCTGGTGAGGGCTCTGCGTCGGATGCAGAGAGGGGACCAGAGCCGTATGCCAGTTATCAGCCGCCTTCAGACATCAGTGAGGCAGATGAACAGCTGGAGCCTGTTCCCAGTGTTCACATGCACAGAGTTGCCAGATGAAGGGAACAGCTAAAGAACAAGGGTCGACTTGGGAGTAAGGCCACAGGTGGACGAGGAATGACCCCCCCCAGAGGAAATATAAAAAGAGCGAAAGGGGAGTAGAGTTTGCAGGAGACAATTAGTTTGCTTAATTGGTTCATGACTCTCCAAGATTTCTTGCCGAGTTCTGCGGATCTCGGCCTGGCAGCTCTCCAAGCCAGATAAAGTCTGTGACTGTAAATCCTCCCTTGAAAGACTTGGCTGGATGTGAATGAGCAGAATTCTCAGTGTATCAGTAAAAGGGGTTTTTGTCG